GGCTTTGCAAAGCATTTTGGAGCATAATCCAGGTTGTGGGGAATCCCTGATGGTGTCCTCTGCTCCCTGTTTAAAGCAGGACCACCATCAAGGTTAGTGCTGGGCTAGAGCTCAGGAAATGTTACATATTCAGAACTGACACATTTTCAGCAATAGTACTAAGGAGCTGCTACTCATTGGTGGATCTGAGGGTGGAAACCTGTGAAAGGTAAGCTGGGATGGGCAGGAGCTGAGAATTGGTGGTGCTGAGCTCCTCCTTTGGCTGCCCACAGATCTGACTGGTCTGCTCTAGGTGCTGCCAGCTGGATTTTATTTTTACTGGACAGCTTCAGGAGTGGAATATCCAAATGCTACTTCAGTCATGACTACATTGGAGTAAATAATTGAGTATATTTCAGTGTAAGAGGTTCTAAAGTGGGTGTGGTGTGTCAAGTGTGGATCATTGGTTGCTGGAGTTTTTTGTGCAAGCACATTTGGATGAAGGACATCCCAGCATAAATTCCCCAGTTAGTGAACAGGCGGGAGATCCAAGGGCCTTTCAGACAGTGTATTCCTTACTGTTATGTTTTCCTGTAACTGCCTGTTTTCCAGTGCTTCAGGAACAAGACTACTTTCTTAAATTTTTAAATACCAACTGGTCTTCTTAAAAAAAAAATGAAAAATTGTTGAGGTGTAATATGTTGGTTTATCAATCAGCACTACTCAATCATACACTGTGTATCCTGTAATTATGGAGATTGTGCTTGGGGATTTTGATGTGCCTGAAGACTGAGTCAGTCTGAAGGGTTGCAGGGGTCCATATAATATTCATTAAGCTGGTTTTCTTAATGGCTGACATTACATATTGTCTTAATGATTGACAAGAATGGCCCTCTGGCCACAGGATTAATCCCAGCTACTACTACTTGTTGGTGGCTCTGTGAGAGAGAGGTTTGATCTGCTAGAGGGCAGGGTTAGATGGGATATTAGAAAGAAATTTCTGCCTGTGCAGATGGGGAGTCCCAGGCACAGGGTGCCCAGAGAAGCTGTGGCTGCCCCATTGCTGGGAATCTCCAAGGCCATACTGGATGGGGCTTGGAGCAACCTGGGATAGTGGAAGGTGTTCCCTGCCCATGGCAGGGGGTTGAAACTGGTTGATCATTAAAATCCATTCCATTCCAAATTGTTCTCTGATTCTATAAATGTGGTTTCACCCCAATAAGCCTGTTTTTCTGTGTCTGGTTGCATTCCTCTTATATCCAGAGGGAACAGACAAGTCATAATGGTAAAAAGACAATAAAAAGTCTAAGATTGTGGTGTGTTAGAAGTTTTTTCAAGAAAGGCTTACAGGGATGTCTGACTTCATGTTGTTCCTGGTGCTCACATGTGTGACCTTAGAAGAAATCCCACCTTTGTTATAAAGTGGAAAAGATGTGAAATGTTGAACAGGTGAAAATTGGGTATTGTTGAGGTGAAACCTGTGTCATACTGTGAGCTGGGAAAATTAGTGTGAGAAACCTGTCATGTAATACTTTCTTGCAAAACAATGCCAAAAGTGATGCAGAGGAAGAGTGAACTATGCCAGTGATTTCAGGAATGTGAGATTTCACTGGAATAAATTTCCAGACTGAAGAGCAAATGTGAGGTTCGACATTTTTTCTCTATCTTCTGTCCCTTTGCCAGTAGTAGTTAATAAGAAGTCTGTTGTACCTTCAGTCTAGAAACTTTATACTTCATATTTTTCCCTCTGAACACAGTCAAGAACAGGAATATAATCTTCCTTCAGCTCATGAAAATCTTCCTACTTCTGTGGCTCTAGAAGGAATCGGCTGGTGTGACCTGAGCCATGCATGATTTCCTGCTTTGAATCTAGTAGCAGTGGACTGTCCTAAAAGGAAACTGAAGAGTCAGCTAAATGTAGAGGTGTTTCCCACCTCAATTTCCCCAACAAATGGAGAAGGTCATTCATTGATGCAACATCTGAAGAGATGGTTCATGGACTATGGTTTTGTGACTGCTGGTTGGTACTTGGCGACTGTTACATGGTCAGTGCGATTCTGGCTCAAAATGCGTCTCCTGACTGTGGAGATGGGTGTTTGATCCTGGTGCCAGCTCTGGATGTTGCTGCATTCAATTTCAGCAATGTGAAGAAACACAATCCAATCTGAGAACCACCAGTGCTAGAGGGAAGAGAAGTCAGACCTCATTCACATGCATTTTTCAGGAATGATATAGATATGGAAATTGTAGGGGATCATGGCAAAAGCTAAACAGGCTTATTTATTAATCATCAAGAAGAGTAGAAACTCCATGGAGCATATTTTGATTGTCTTTTTTTGTTGATCCAGCATGCTTGGAATTCACTATGTTTCTGCTGCTCCTCAGATTTCCCTTGCCAGAGGCAGAGGAGGTGTTTGGTAGTGACAGAATGGGCTGTGTGGATCTCTGCAGCTTTTTCCTCTTAAAATTTGAAAGTACTATTACTGTAGCCCTTAGGGTGAGAGTGAAGCACTTGGTGTCTCAGATGAGAAGGATTTCAAGTAAAGCATGTCAGTTATTTATCACAATAGCTGTACAGTGTCCTGTGCAGAGTAGCCTTGGGCTTGTAGGCTTGGCTGCAGGATAAATTCCAGGCTCACTGAGGCTGGAAAAGACCTCTAGATCATCAAGTCCAAGCTGTGCCAAATCCCTACCATGTCACCACCACCAGAGCACTGAGTGCCACGTCCAGGCCTTACTTTGATATCTCCAGGGATGGGGACTCCAAACCTTCCCGGGCAGCCCCTTCCAGTGCCTGACCACCCTTTCCAGGAAGACACATTGGTGTTAATGTGGTTGTTGTGCAGATGGATGAGTTTGGTGATGGCCTGGCCCCCAGAGCTGCTGTTCTGTGTTAGCAAGGTGCCAGCGCATGAGTTCAGGTGAAGAGTTACCTCTGCATGCAGGGGCTGTCAGGACGAGCTCTTCTCTCGGGTGTGGAGAGTAGGCTCATGTCTGGGACAGACTAGATCCTCTGGGACTCTGCTGTCTTGGTCCATGTGCTCCAGCAGGTTTTGGCAAGGGTTGTGATTAGCAACTTCATGAATTTCTTTCAGCAGCTGAAATTATGGTTAATTGAATGTGTCAGCTTTAAAAGCACACAAGAGTGGTATCCAGTGCAGACACAGAATGGTGTTTGGCCTCTGTCAGAACAACACATAAAAAAAATTCTTATCCTGAAGCACTTAGCTTCCTGTACACCTGGAATTGCCTTAAATATTAATGGAAATTAGAACACAGAGAAACATTCTTTCCTTTGTTTGCTGAGATGTGTCACTTAATGTCATCATTAAATTCATACCACTGAATAACTGAAATAAAACACTCAAGAGTCCTGACAAGACAGACCAGTGCTTCAGTCTGCAGCTGGGGATGTGGTGGCTTCTCACCTTTACTGGGTGGTGAGGTCTTAACTGGACATGGGAGTTTTCTGATCCCCACAGGGGAACATGTCTCTTGTGACAAGTAAACTGTGGTTTTAGGGCACAATATTTACACAGTAAAATTGGAGTTGGAGATGGAGGGGGAACGGCTTCAGACTGTCAGAGGGTATGTTTGCATCGGGTATTGGGAAGAAATCGTTTTTTGTGAGGATGGTGAGGCCCTGGCGCAGGGTGCCCGGAGAAGCTCTGGCTGCCCCTGTCGGTGTCCAAAGCCAGGCTGGATGGGGCTTGGAGCAAGCTGGGCTTGTGGAAGGTGTCCCTGCCCGTGGCAGGGGATTGGAACTGAATGATCTTAAAGCTCCCTTTAAACCCAAACTATTCAAGGATTCTGTGATTCTACGTAATAGACATAATAGTGGATATGGCTATTTTATGTCAGGCTTTTTTTCCCCTCCTTCCTCAAAAAGAAGAAAAATACGAAGTGAGGAAACTCTGATTTTTGTGCCTGGATAAAAGTAGATCTAATACTCTGCACAGGTTATCTTGCTTTTCCCTTCACGATTAATTAAAGCTTATATAGTAACCTTGTTCTCCAGAGAGTTTGGGCCTTTTCATAAAGAACTTAATGAGCTGGAAAATGGATTATAATGTATGTGATAGATGCCAATAGAAAATGCATTTGGCTGCTGAATTAAGGGTCTGGAAACCCAGATCTAAAAAAGGAATAAGAGAAAGCACTTCTACTTCTTCCACCTAGAAAAAGGGTCTGAAACTGCAGTCTTGCCACTTACATAGTTAAAATTATTTTTTTAATAATAGAAGTTTTAATAATAGAAGTTTTTTTAAATAATAAATTTTCCTGCTCAAGGCAGGCATTTTTTGAGTCACAGGAAGCAATGCCTCCTCTCCCCCAGCATAAAAGTGTTTTCTGTTCAGAAACATCATCTTCTTCTGTTACTTTGACCAGACTTTTTCACATCTGCAATGATTCTGTGTGGCAATTTTGCCTCATCTCATACAATAATACTAAAATTTTAATGGAACAGCGGTGCAATTTCTCTGGGTTTTAAAAATTATTATTAAAATTATGCAGTGACTGGGTTTCTTATGATCTTTCAGTATCCTTCAAACTTCTGATATGAAAGCCCATGGGATGTGTTTTGAGGAAGAAGGAAAAGCCCTTGTGGTGTGTTCAAGTGAGCATGTTTGACTGGTGTGCTGTGTCCTGTCTCATTTTGCCCTTCCCCTTGGTTTAGGAAGCAGACCCTGCTTGATCCATGTGCATGTTTGGAAGTGGATGTTTTAGGAATATTTTCCACATCAGGTGGTATTTGTGGCCCATGTTCTCTGGCTTTCAGTTCATTGTCACTTCTGTTTAACAACTGAATTGATTTTTGCCAAGTGTTCATGGCTGAGCAGCTCCCCAAGTTCTCCTGGAGTGGAACAAGCAGGGGATTACTAATGTGTGATACAGCAGAGCCTGGTACATGGTGGGGACAGGTGTTCCCTGGAGCCTCTGCTTGGCTGGACACACACTGCTGCAGCTTGGGAGAAGAGAGGATCCTGAGCTAGACACACGTGAGTGCTCAGCCCATGTCCTTTCTTTCCTCAGCCATGTCTCAGGCCGTGCAGACCAATGGGACGCAGCCTCTGAGCAAGACCTGGGAGCTCAGTCTGTATGAGCTGCAGAGAACACCCCAGGTAATCACAAAACCTTAGGACTGCTGGGCTTGGGAGGGACCTCTGAAGATCACCCAGTCCAGCCCCCTGCCCAGGCAGGGTCGCCCAGAGCAGGTGACACAGGGGCACATCCAGGTGGGTTTGGGATGTCTCCAGAGGGGAGACTCCACACCCTCCCCGGGCAGCTGTTTCAGGGCTCTGGACCCTCCAAGGGAAGAAGTTCTTCTTGTGTTGAGGTGGAAGCTGTGTTTAGTTTATGGCCATTGCTCCTCATCTTGTCACTAGCACCACTGAATGGAGTCTGGCACTGTTCTCTGACACCCCTTGGAGATACTTAATGACATTCCCTTCTCAGTCTTCTCCACACTGACCAGGCCAAACTCCCACAGTCTCTCCTCATCAGAGAGATGCTCCAGACCCCTCATCGGCTTCATGGCCTCCACTGGACCCTCTCCAGCAGCTCCTTTTTTTTTATTGTGTCCTGCGGGGCTGGCAGCATTGGTGTTTTGTGTGCTTGATGTGTTTGTGTTGTTTCTCTTTGCTGTGTTTTGTTGGGTAAAACATGCTGTCTCCATGAGAAAGAGACTCAATCCCAGGAAAGAACCTTTCTCTTCTTTGCTGCTAGGAAGCCATCACAGATGGCCTGGAGATCGTGGTGTCCCCCCGGAGCCTGCACAGTGAGCTCATGTGTCCCATCTGCCTGGACATGCTCAAGAACACCATGACCACGAAGGAGTGTCTGCATCGCTTCTGTGCTGACTGCATCATCACTGCCCTCAGGAGCGGGTCTGTGAGCACTGCCAGGGGACACTGCCAGGGGACAGGGCCAGGGGACAGGGAGGGAACATGGCCAGGGCATGGGGGGGGTGGACACTGCCAGGGGATGGGGGGGGACACAACACTACCAAGACATGGGGAGGGGACACTGACAGGGAGGGGTCACTGCCACGGCATGGGAAGGGAACACTGCCAAGGCATGGGGAGGGAGCACTGCCAAAGATGGGACACTGCCGGGGAAGAGGGATGCTGCCAGAGGACATGAAGGGGATGCTGCCAGGGGCAGGGATGAACACTGTAGAGGAAAGAGGGCTTGGACAGTCCACTGCACTTGAGGTGGAAGTGTCTTCGGCAGGGGGGCAAGGGGGCGGTTGATGTAGGACAGTTACTGTGCGCTGGGAGTTTCTGAATGTGCAGTACACCTTTCAAATCCTGTTTTTTCATGTTCAGCCATCTCTGGAAGACAGATCAAATCGCTTCATCATGAAAAATCATTTCATATTTCTGTTTCTTGTAAGGAGTTGAAGTCCTCTTTTGTGTTCTTTTCTTCTTAGATCCAGTAACAGTAAAACAAAAATACACGTTACTAACAAAATTTGGTTTAATTTCCATTATTTTTTCTTTTTCTAATAATACATTTCAAATTATGTGGCCTTCAGCCATTTCAAATTATGTGTCCTGTGGGTGTTAGAAATCATGGAATCATAGAATCCCAGAATAGTTTGTTGTGGAAGGAACCTTAAAGCCTATCCAGTCCCACCCATTACCACAGGCAGGGACACCTTCCACCATCCCAGATTGGTCCAAGCCCTGTCCAGCCTGGCCTTGGACACTTCCAGGGATCCAGGGGTAGCCACAGCTTCTCTGGGCACCCTGTACCAGGACCCCCCAACCCTGACAGGGAAAAATTTCCTCCTAAGACTATGCCTTAGTATAATTTCCACTAGACATCCATTTTTTCTAGGTAAAAATCCAGCCAGAAAATGAAAAGAAGAGGGGAATGTGGGACTTTTGATCTCTTCAGTCTAAATAGTTTGCTCAAACATACTTTAAAATAAAAGAGCAGCAGGGATCTTTGGGAACTTTAAGTGTCTCCAACTACCTGAACTGTCAAGAGACAGAAGCCCCTTTCCATATTTACTATAAATACTGAGTCTTAGGGAGTACTTTGAGCAAGAATGGAAGCAACAGGGCAGAGTTGTATTACAGCTGGAGAGTTAAGTGTTGTTTGCTTCCTTCTTGTCCATGTCCAGCAACAAAGAATGTCCCACATGTCGCAAAAAGCTCGTTTCAAAAAGATCCCTGCGGCCAGACCCCAATTTTGATGCTCTCATCAGTAAGATTTACCCGAGCCGGGATGAGTATGAAGCTCATCAGGAGAGGGTGCTGGCCAGGATCAGCAAGCACAACAACCAGCAAGCCCTGAGTCACAGTATCGAGGAGGGATTAAAGATTCAGGCTATGAACAGGTACGTAATCACCTTGATTGCCTCTAGCCTAAAAATACAATGCCTGTCCTCATGCCTTGGGTAGCTTGAGAATCTTCTCCTCTCCTGTGATACCTGGCAAAACAATCTCTAACCTTTAGTAAAAGAATTTTTAACCTTTTGTCTACTATCAGAAATCTCTGTATCACTCCCTGCAACATCTGTGGCAGCCTGATAGAAACTTCAGCTTAGTTTTACCAAACTATGGCTGTCATGTCTTAGATAAGAAACCATAACACCATGAATACTGTACCAAAGTGCTACCCTTACATGCCAATAAATGCACAGAATACCAGGACTTGGGGCTTAGTTGTGACTTAATTCATAGGTGGGATGGAATCTGTGTTTACACCATGGTGGAATTCCAGATGTGCATTTAAATCTAAAAGGGACAGCTAGGAGAGAGGTCCCAAACTTTGCATGATAAAGCATGGTGTGATTTAATAATTCTAATCACATGTGGATCCATGTTTGGATTAAAACAATGGTCTGCAATTGCCTGAAAAACAGCTGTGTGAACTTAAAATAGTCTTAAAATACAACTAAAAGGTGTTTGAGGGACATGAAAAAATGAATAGTTCTGTCTATGAGTATCTTTTTATACAAAAGAATTATTATTACTAATTTTTTAAACTTTAAATCTCCCTGAAATGTTTAGTGCTTCTGTGTGCACATGCCTATCTGGGGAGGAGGTGTTGAGGGTTCTGGATGGGTCAGGGTGTATCTCTGCCTGTTTTTGGCTAGGTTGCAGCGGGGCAAGAAGCAGCAGATTGAGAATGGCAGCGGGGCCGAGGACAATGGTGACAGCTCCCATTGCAGCAACGCCTCCACACACAGCAACCAGGAAGCAGGGCCTAGCAACAAGAGGACCAAAACCTCAGATGACTCTGGGCTGGAGCTGGACAACACCACCACCACTGTGGCCATAGATCCCGTGATGGACGGGGCCAGTGAGATCGAGCTGGTGTTCAGGCCTCACCCCACCCTCATGGAGAATGATGACAGTGCGCAGACGAGGTCAGTGCCCCCATGCCACCTCCAGGTATTCTGCTGCTATTTCCCGGTGCTTTGGTTTTCCATCATTTCTTGGGGCTTCTAAATATCCATTTACTTCAGTCATAGCACATCTTGTTTAACTGTATCACAGGATGGTTTGAGGTGGAAGTGACCTTAAAGCCTATCCAGTGCCACCCCCTGCCATGGGCAGGGACACCTTCCACTATCCCAGGTTGCTCCAAGCCCCATTCAGCCTGGCCTTGAACACCTCCAGGGGTCCAGGGACAGCAACAGCTTCTCTGGGCAACCTGTGCCAAGGCCAGGTGCAAATAAGCACTCTTCCCTTCTTTCTGTTCCAAGTCAGGTAGATGGCACTGCTCACTATCATAAAAAATACAGTCATAAGCTGTTTTAAGCCTTGGATCACAAATAAAGGTGTTTTTAAGTTTTTCTAACATTCCAGTTCACTAGTGGGATGATGGTGTTATAACAGCCCCTTTCTGCTTACTCTGAGATTCTTTGGGAATAAACAAACCTTGTATAAGCGTCAGCAGTTTTTAGAGCAGCTCTGTGTCAGCATGATTTGCAGGCTGGCAGCTTTTCATCATTTTTTTGTTCATAATCCCAGTCCAAGCACAAATTGCAAGTTTTGTCTCACAGCAGAGAGTCAGAGAAAGAGTAGTTTTATGGTGTCTCCTTGGGTCTTTTCTTGGCTTTCTCTGCTGATGAGACATCTCTCTGTGATGGGTGTAAATCTATGCAAAGTTTCAGCCGGGAACTGTCTCTAAAGGCCTTTTCACAGCTAATGTTTAATACTTGGGGCGTTGCAGATGGGTTTTCCCACAACTTCGGCTCAGTCATTATTGGTGATCTGTGTGGCTGTTGTCACAGGTACATCAAGACCTCAGGCAATGCCACGGTTGATCACCTGTCCAAGTACCTGGCAGTGAGACTGGCCCTGGAGGAGCTGCGGAGCAAAGGTGAATCCAACCAGATGAACCTGGACACTGCCAGTGAGAAGCAGTACACCATCTACATCGCCACTGCCACCGGCCAGTTCACTGTAAGCACTGCACTGCCCCAGTCAGCTGGCTAACCACAGCCCTGCATGCACATCTGTTCTAAACACACTCAGCTGGGCTCTTCCCGAGCTGGCTCAGGGTAAAATTCATGGCACCAGCTTATTTAGCAGCAGATCAGCTGCTTTTTGGCAAAAGCTTGGTTGTAGAAAAAGAGGCATAGAAATTATCTGGGCAAAATGCAGTGATAGCAGAAAACATGATCTGGCTTATGCCATTCTTTTCCAATTAAAATTGAAGAGGGAAAAATACTACTTCACTTGAGAATATTTGTGGTTTTTAGCTTGTAACTTGTGCCACATTTTTGGTTACTTCTTCAAGTCAACACACTTAAATATTGATTTAAGTAGCCTGTTTTACAGCACAACATCAGATGACCTAATTTGTTCCCATTTTGCTGTTTTCTTCTAGGTGCTAAATGGGTCCTTTTCCCTGGAACTGGTCAGTGAGAAATACTGGAAAGTGAACAAACCCATGGAACTGTACTATGCCCCCACCAAGGAGCACAAATAAGTGCTGGGTAACTGGGATGGAACTAACTCTTTTTATAGCTATGACTTCTTTAATATTAAAATAAGGCATCACCAGTATCTTCATGGACAACACATGTGGTGCCTTCAGGCACTCTCAGTATACTCAGTAATGACTAGACAGTATTCTGAGCTGTATTTAATTTAGTCTTTGGGTTGAGTTATTTGGTTTTTACCTAGGAGACTAAATGACCTTCTCCAGTGCATTCCAGTGTTTGAGATGCTTTTTTGTTCCTAATGCATGATATCTGATCCAGTGTTCCGGTTTGGAATGGCTTTGTTTTGTCCAGGTAAATCTGGATTTCTGCTCCATCAGACACAGTTATAGTAGCCTCTGTGAAGTGTAGAGTGTTGGATGGCCAAGGAAGACTGTTCAATAGTAGCATAGGCCAAGGAATATGTTAAATGTTGGAATTTGGTGACTGTTATCCATCTGAAGAACTGATTGGTAGAGAATGGATTTGGGATAGTCTTGCAGCTAGAGGTAATCTGATTCCCTAGGAGAAGTTCATTAAGACGTTTTCTTGTGAACAAACGTGAATTTTGCATCTTGTGGGAGGTATTGCTGCCCATGGTAGGGGCTTGGACCAAGATGGTGTTTAAGGTTCCTTCGAAGTCCAGCCATCCTGGGATTCTGGGATTCTAAGAAGAGCTGCAGTGAGAAAACTGACACTTTAAAACTTTGCTATTTACAGGGCTTAATTTAATATTTTAGTGCAAGGTGGTTAATCAGTTTGGTTTGGTTTTGTTTGTAATGGCTATTTTAGTCAAAAAACACCCAAACACCCCAAACCCATAACTCTTCCCCATGCAGGACATGTCAGTCTTGATTCCTGCCTGGCCCCTCCTGCAATGTTGCCCTGTCCTCACTGCTGAACTGAAGGAAATCTGGATGTTTTATAGCCCTGCTATGTTCCCTAGAATAGGATCTCTGTTGTGAATGTGCTGTAAAGAACTGTCCAGAAAACATTTTGTTAAAGCAAATCCCCCAGATTTCCAGCACACAGCCATCAAAATGCTTTGCTCGGGGATTTGTACCACCCCAGCAGGGACCTTTTCCCGGCATCAGTGTGAGTAGGGAAGACTTTGACTGTAAGCTGCTCCAAGATTCTACTTTTGTTACTTTGCCATAGCTTTAACAAACATGGCTTAGCACTTTGGAAGACAACTTCAGTACTTGACAAAGTTTACCATTTAGTGTCTTACCTTTAGGCTCAAGTTTCCCAACATGGGCAGTGGGCCATGCTGTAAGGCATGCTGCTAGTCATTTATGTGTACAGCCCCTGTACCCTGACTTTGGACCTTGCTGTGGCTCTGAGAGGGCAGCTTGACCTCTCCCATGTCCTCTCTGAAGGGGAGCTGTCACCAGGAGGTTCCCTTTGCTCAAAGACTTGCTGATGAACCCTCCCGTTTGCCCCTGAGGCTTGAAGCAAAAGGTTGGTGGTAGGTGGGAAGCACCAAGCTTTACTCCACAGTGTGGTTTACACTCCTCCTGTGTCCTGCCTGGACTCCCACTGGCTTTGGCATGTGATACAAAAGTATTCTGCTGCTTGGGATTTTCCTGGGAAGGATTTGCCTTTCCCTGGCTCTGGGCTTTCCTAGCACTTGTAAATAGCGTCCCTTTTGGCTGCTGTTCAGATCAGCTTTATCCTGCTGTGAAATCTGCACAGGCTTCTCTGATTAACTTAATTATTTCCTCTGACTGGAGAGCCTTGGGCTTTTGTGACATGAAATGAAAGTGTTCAGGCCCAGAGCACAGAAGGGCGGCTGTTAGGGACCTGTTTTTGCTGACTTTGTGAAGCGTTGCTGTATAGACTGTAGTGCATGTCCACAGAATATAATGGGGGGTGGGGGAGTGGCTGTGCTAAATGCTTTGAAGTTACTGGGGAAACTTCTAGATTAGTGCCAGCATCCCTCCTGGGGGGAGCTGAGGGGAGGGACAGTCCCTTAAGCGAGAGAGGTGTTGTGAAGCTGAGCAGTCTGTCTAGCTGTCACTTTGTCTCCAGTTCTTTTGAAAAGCATGGGAGAATGTGAAGCTTTTTATATTCATGTTGTAGTGAATTCCCTGAATATTTATGTTCTTTAAATATTATATATATAATGTAGTTATTTGATTAAACCATTGATTGCACTGTGACTCTTTAGTGCTATAAACTATTATATTTTCAAAATGCCATTACTATTCCCCCTTTTAAAGGCTATGTTCTTTTTAAAGTACATAATGTGTGTTACATACGGGTACGCCTAATATCCAACTAAAGTCACACTGAAATGCTCAAATTGACAATAAAAGCAAAAATGTTATCAACAACCTGTTGGGAGTTGCAGTGCTGCTTCCTCTTGTGGTTGATAAAGGACCCCCTTTGGGCAGTGTTTGTGTTCGTGCTGCAGTGCCTGGGGCTGTGCAGGTGCAGCTCAGCTCCACCAGTGGTAGCTGTTACAGTCCCTGAAAGCAGCTCAGCTCCTGAGCCTTGAGTGAGAAATAGGGGCACACAGAAGGTATCAGCTCTTCCACTGACCTGTCACAGGTGCTGCTGTTCCAACCAGATCCTGCAGCCTGAGGAAGGGGATGAAGGATTTTCATAGCACTTGTGTTAAACCCAGCAATTTTCAGTGCATTTAACTCTTAGGCAGCTTAAGTCAATAGCAGCAGAGAGCAACTGTAATGAACCCCCTTCAGCTGAGGTGCATTATTTAGAGATCACGTTTCGTTTCCTTGTTTTCTCTCTACATTTACCACAACTGTTAACCAGAGGACGCAGCTCGAGTTAAGAGGCAATGCTTGTGTATGCCTGGAGTAGGGTTTCTTGAGATGTACTGAACATGAGCACTCTCTGAGGAGATCCTGCTGCTCTCTGGGCCACCACTGCTTACCCAGATTGTCTCTGAACAGCTTAAACTCCCAGAAAACTTCCTTTAATCACAGCTAAACAGGAAACACCCCATGGGTAGGAGGATATGTCCCTCAGGTACAGAGCAGTAGTACAGAGCAGTAGAGGTTGCACTGTACTGCCCACACTGGTAACTGGATTAAACCTACAGCATAATTTTTGTATTTCTTCTGGCATTTACTCTCCATCCTGCTGTTGAGCTGATGGCCTTGCACTGATTTCCCTCAGTCTTTCAGCAGTTGATCAGTTGTGATTTTCTGTTCAGGACGAGCCACTGGCAGAAACACCTTGGTCCAGCAAAGATTTGTTTAAGGTCTGCTATTGGTGCCTGGCACAGCACTGGGTACTAGCTGCTCCAAAAAGTGACAGGGAACGAGCTGTGACCTTGCCATCACCTCCTGCATTATCCTCACCTACTTCCCACTCTGTCTCCTACTGTAACAGCCAGCCTGGCCATGTGGATCAGTGCAAGGAGGAACAAGATCTCCCAAGCTCCAGACATAAACCAACACTAATGCTCTTTCAGCCGATTATAGCAGGACTGACCCTGCCTGGTCAACAGCAGAGACAACTGCTGAACAGGAAGATAACTCCCCTTCAGCTGGTCCCTGACAACAGGCAAAACCTCACCCCAGATCACGGTCCGGCAGAGGAAAAGAGCCCAGATTGTACAGACAACTCTGAATTTAAATTTTTCTGCCCCTCCAGACACCTGTGAATAGTTGCCTTGGGTTGGAAAAGGTATTCCCCACAAGAGTCTTCAGTTATACTTTTTTTTTTAACTGCCTTTACTGTAATCAGAACAATCCCTTGCCTCAAGTTATTGACTTTAGGACTGCTTTTATTGTGCTAACACTGAAGTGTGTTACCTGCAAGCAACACTCCACTTAAAAACCCAAAAATGCCACTAGGGACCATCAAATTCTCTCCTTCCTTTTAGCTTTCCAATGTGCTCCCAGGTGATGTTTGGTAAAGAACTGTAAGCACTACATTTTTGAAATAAACTTTGTTGCTGTATCATTGATCCAAGAACTCTTCAGTGCATTCTTCCTTTTTGAAATTAGAGAGTAACTGTCCACCAAAGCAATCTGGAATTGAAGAGGGTGGAAGATGCAGCAACTTCTGGCCTGACAGGAGCATAGTATGTTTTGCATCATGTAGAGTGTATTAGTCATGTTAACTTCTATTGTAGTTTCAGAGATGGGTAAGGTTATTAACCCCTCATATTCTGCTCTTAGATAAACCTAACACTGGGGACCAGGCTGAACACTGAACTTGTGAGAAACAGCCACTACTGTGACAGCTGTTCAAGTGGAATACACAGAAATACCAGAACTAAGTGTGGAAAAAAGAAAGGACAAAGGCAAGCTCATTTGGCTGGAATGCTGCCATGTATTTAAAGAAACCAGGACCGCCATCACCTGGCAGCATTGCTCGTTCACAGAAGAGATCTTAGCTCAGACTTACTATTGACAACTCACCACAAAACTTCACCAGAATGTCCACTGTGGTCCCTTGTCCCTTTCTGCCGCACACAACCACTGTAAGCTCTGAGCAGACAACTAGAGTGACTATACAATTCACTATGGTTTGGTTACAAACTGAAGTTTGGTAGCAGCCATGTCACCACTTCTTCCTGTTCTCCTGGGATCAGCTCCTGCCTGGAGGCAGAGCCCTGGAAACAGACCTGAATGCAGTTACATGTACAAACTTGGAGCTACAGCTGCACCCAGGCAGGACTCCCTGGCTTTAACTCAGGACATTTTATCCTGTGTTATTTTATTACCTTAATATGCCCTCTCTCTGGATCATAGCTGGCCAGGTTTTAGGAATGATGCATTTTAGGAATAGGCTGTTTCACAATAATCTCATATTCCAAAATGCTGAACACTTTTGACCCTGTCTCCCCTCCTGGATGCTGTGGTGGCAGTAAAGCTTGGACAGACTGGGAGGTAGCCTCCATGCTTCAGTGTGAAAAGGAGGTGAGCATAAAAGTAGGTAACTCCACAGCCTTCCCACAGTGTGGATTTCATGACCACAGCCATACTGGGATCAGGGCTAAGTTGTGCTACCTAAGTCTAAACTGTCCCTTTGAGTACAACAGGCAGGTCAAAATGGTCAAACTCCAGCTTGGGAGGAAGGAGTGGACTACTGTAACAAGTTGTGCTGAAAGTCTGTAACATCCTGATAAACAAATCCATCTGCATTAATTAGCAGCTCAGTAAGTGGGGTAGGCAGCAGCGACTCCAGATTTATCATCTTCCACTAACTCAGCCTCCTCCACCTTGATCACTGTAGCAGCTGGAACCTCTCCTCCCACCTGGATCTCTCCAGGGAAGTGCACAGGGCCTTCTGCCTGTGCCCCCACGTAGGTTGGAGTACTGTACTTCATGAGAACAGTCTTGAACTGCGCCAGGGGTGCATTGGTACGGACTCCCATGGGGTCAAAGTGGGTTCGGCTCACGCGGTATCCATCCTCTGACAGATAGTACAGGAACTTATTTAACCTGGGAAGAAACATAGCAAAACCAAACCCCACATTTAGAATGGACGTGGTGCTTACAGGGCTGACTCAGAACAAGCTGTGTGTGTCAGTGTCAGACCAGGCTGGAACGTGAGCCCACACTTACTTAGGCATGTTCATGCCCTTGATGCTGTGCCGGTGGATGTTGTAGTAGAACGGGGGGTGCTCAGCACTGTGCTCGGCCCGCTGCCGCTTCGCTGCACCGCGAAGCACCTCCTCACTTTTCCGTTTCCCTGCACCACAATGAGGCCACAGAAACCACTCAGTACTCACAGGCACCCCAAAAATGCCAGCAAAGCCT